TATGTACATATGTATTAAAAATAATAAAACTAATAATTTAAAAATTAAAAAATTAAAAAGTCTAGTTTGAAGTTTTAAGAAATTTTTAAATTAGGAATTTAAAAATGGAACCCTGCATCAGCCGTCGTTTGGGGATATTRGAGCAAGACAGATATACTTTTTTAAATGACATTGCTGAATGAGCGCAACAGTGATGTATGATCACATTTATACGTACGAGTGCATAGAATCTTCACGCGGTCTGTGGCAAACTACACATGTTTACCCACTGATTATCTGGTTTTTTACCCGCTCATGGTGGGCAGGGTTGTGTGCGTTCATCTGTAGCATGTGATCGTCTTAGTAATGCCACATCATTTGCATTACGCGTTTGCCGTCCTATATTTTCTAATCAACAATATGTTTCTTTCAAATAAAGAAACATACATGTATACATGTACATCACTTCAACTGTTCACTTTGTTGTTTTTTAATTTAATTGCAATAGCTTGACAATTTAATTGAAACATAGTATACATTTAAACAATTTAAAACTCACTGTTTATATGTATGTAATGACATATGGCATAAACATAACAATTTGACAAAAAAGTGCCCATTGACATGCATTAAATTCATTGGTACAAAAATGTGATATGTAAGAACCGCTTAAACTTCACATATACCATTAAAAAATTAGTTGAATAAGACCAATACTTCTTTTAGACCCCATATACCTAATACAAAAATGTTTCAATATCGGGGTGACTTTATACCGCATATATCGGCCAATATGTGAGTTATCCCAATGAAAATGATAGAGAGTGTGATTTATTCATAATAGTGTATCTTTGTGCCTAAAATGGATAAATTTGAGCGAAAACTTGGCCTAGCCTATATAACGAATATGAGGCTTTTCGAACATGCGGCTGACTTTACTCTATATTTTTGGCTTTGCACCTTAACGCATTTCCCTGCCTTTGACTCTTGAAAGTTGCAAGAGTATAAAATGTTCGGTTGCAACCGAACTTGACCTTTCTTTACTCGTTTTTTTTTACTTTTTTACTTTGGCCCATCCTATAAGTCAACAAGAAGGCAACTTTTTACCTTTTTCCTCGTTATATCGGCGACTTTTGTCTCAACAAGACGGCGCCATTTCCCGCGCATTGCATGAATTACTGTATTTATTGAGAGAACTTAAGATCCAACTATCAAAAAATTTAAAAATTTCATTTAAAAAACGCTTAAGAAATGGTTAAGGAAATTTCCTGCGGTAAATTTTCTTGCAGCTGTATGCAGCTGTAAAGAAACCTATGGCTAATTTTTTTATAAATTTTTTCATTAAAATGCGTATATGGGTTTTATGGTCGTCAGCTTATGATTGCTTCCGATTCTGTTGGCTCTTCCTGGCCTTGATTAAAACACGTGCTTCAACTTTTGTCTATACTAATACTTTTATTCGGAAAGTGGCGTGTTCTAGATTAATATGCCTAAAAGAATAAAAGTGGTGTGATCTCTGTCAGAATGCGCAGAAGAGTGAGAATGAAAGAATAATTACAGTTCTGTTAACTGCGGTGCAGATAAATTAATGAGTGCTGCCAAACCATCGAATTGATGGTGCCGTCCTTGGGTGTTAGGTATGTTCGTGTACTACACTGCCAGACGTATATGGTATACCTTGYTTTGCGAAGAAACATGAAATCAAAAATTATTTCTTGAAAGAAAATCAATGTAATCACTAAATTCATCCTACAATTAGTTAAAATCATTATTATGAAATATATGTAGCTCATTTTGAAATTTTGTATAGAACTTCCAAATCTTTGTTCGTATTCCTTAAATTGTATTGAAATTATTTATATACATACACGCATAAGTTTATTTTCTCTTGCTCCTCTCATAAGGATGACCCACAATACATAACTAGCTGTCAAAATTACTTGACTAGAGCTTATAATGATTTTTTTCTTGAGCAATTACTTAAGAGCTGGATACGGACCTTTAAGAATCGAAATGCTCGAACCAGTCATAGAAAATGCCCTCAACGGTTGGCCAACATTTGAAAGAGATAATCTTCAAAAAATAAATGCCAAAGAATGTCCTTTCGAATAATAATAAACATTCTCTATTAAATTTGAAGATTCTGGCTATATTTTTTCTACTTTGCTTTTAACCGCTTATGTCGGTCAA